ATTGTTGGTAAGTGCTGTCTGGTTTCTCAACTTAAGTCGAGTTAGGAAGCTCTACGAGTCTCCCGGCGGTAACCAAGGTTGACGGTTTACCGCCGGCGCCCAGTAATTCCGGGGCGTTGGAGAGCTAGTTGGCAAGAAAAATCTCGACGGAACTTTTGCTGACCTGTGGTCGGTTGAACATTTCGTTCTCAAAATTTCAACATTCGTTAGAGCTCTAGTATATTTTACAATTATATTCGATATTATTCCCGCTCGCCATCTTGATCTGAGCTCGATCGGGTCCTTTTTACGGCCAAACAGCAGGCAGGCGGGATCGACCGTTTCGAGTCATCTTAATACGCGCTGTCGGTTTTATCATAACTCGAGCTCCAGATCAGCAACAGAGCTGGTGAGCACAGGTAGTCGATGCAGAATGATTAGGTGCGTTCTCCTGTTAAACTCAGAGGTCTGAACTCGGTCTGCTAGCCGAGCTAGGTCCGCAAACCTATTCGTATTATTCGAGTCATCTTGACAGGCGCTCTCGGTTTTCTGTACTTATCTCGAGCTACAGGACAGCTACAGAGCTGATACGTACAGAATCCGATTCATAATCATCAGTTGCGTTTGTCTGTCGAATCGAACGGAACTTGGTCTGCTGCCCGATCTAGAATCGCGAAACTATTCGTATTGTTCGAGTCGCATACGAGATCCTGTCGGTTCTCTGCACTTAACTCGGGCTGTAGGGGGGCTGCATGGCTGGTGATCACTGCAATCGATTCGGAGACATCAGGCGCGTTCGCCTGCGGAATCTAGAGCTCCGAAATCCGAACGCGGTCCGCCAAACTGTTCGTATTGTTCGAGTCATTCTGAGAGATGCTGTCGTTTTCCTGCACTTAACTCGGCAGCAGAGGGGGCTGCAGGGCTGGTAATCACAGGGATCGATTCAGAGACATCAGACGCGTCTGCCTGTCGCATGCAGAGATCTGAACTCGGTCTGATACTCGAACTAGGCTTGTCAAACTATTCGTATTGTTCGAGTCATCTTGAGAGGTGCTGTCGATTAACGCACGTAACTCGGGCTGTATGAGAGCTACAGAGCTCGTGCAGAAGACAATCTAGAAGCATGGGTGGCGTTCGGCTGTTGCATCCGAGAGGTCGCGAATTGCTTGGGCTGAACAATTATTTTTTCTGTGTAATCTCTTTCGACGTTATATGTTGTTAGGAAGCTCTACGAGTCCCCCGGCGGTAAGAAAGGTTGACGGTTTACCGCCGGCGACCAGTGTGTTAATCAGCTGCAGACGTAATTGAGCCGTACAGATACCAAGCGCGCGAACGTGCACCCTGCAACCCCTTCCTGCCAAAGCTCTCCTCTTCCCTCACAGTACGCTGATGCGCAACACCCCAAGAGATACGAAGCCGATCTGTCTCAACATGAGGCTGCACTTCAAAATTGGCGTCGGCGCACACGACAACATCAGAAATACTATATTTTTGACGCATGAGCACAGCAGCACGAGAGAACTGAAGGAGAACGTTCTGGTGCAACTGGAACGTGGCCTGATACCCCTCAGACGTTGTCCCATAGAGGCCTTGCTGTGGAAGAGAAACGCTGGCATAGACGAATGCGCCCACCTCTGGCCACGAAAGGCACATACCACAAATCGTCTACCAACAGCGTGCCCCAAGAAAGCGGAACTAAGGGTTGACGAGAATAGAACGCCTTCTTTGCCCTCCGTCGACCCGCTATCGAGCTTCATCTCGGACGAGCAACGATAGCGGAAACGAGCCTCAGTCGATGTCCCGCACCCGAGAAACTGGTACTCCTGAAGCCCGACGAGTTGGACCCTAAGCCCTACGAGTTTTTTAAGTTTGAGTCAGGGCGCAGACAGCAGTGACAGCTGAGCCTGAAGACTCCCGCACGGAACACAGGGTTGCTAGAGAAGGCATCTCTTATCACCACGCTGCCGGGCGACAGAGGCATAGGCATCGGAAAAGGATGCAGGAGCAAAGAGTGAAAACAATTCTCATCACCACACTGCCAAACCAGAATGGCATATGCATCGGAATGCAACACACCGTGCTCGGTCAATCACGAATGAAGCAACGTTCACATGAAAAACTGCAACGTGATGACAAGAAGGAGAAGAAACGCAATCCATCCACAACATGTGAAATCGCAAAAGTGTTGGAGCTGGCCAGAGAATGGTGTAAGAGCTTGCTGAGACGCTACCAAAACGCGCTTCACGGCCATGTAATGCCCTTTCTCTGTTTTGATCAAGGCAACCGCCGATCAGCAGCATATTCTTCCACAGACCGCACTCCAACGAAGAAACCGCGGGGACATATTAATTCATGTTCACGTTGTTCCCGGAGATCTCTCTAAGAGCTAGAGGGTTTTCGATTGGACGCCGCCCATCTTCGCCGGTTCAGAGTCCCTGCAGGGGTTCGTTTGAGGTCGCAGCCCGTCCGGGAGATTCACTCGTAGAGCTTCCCTTAGCAAGTTGTTGCTGGAAGCTTAAGAGTAATTCCGGGGCGCTGGAGAGCTAGTTGGCAAGAAAAATCTCGACGGACCTTTTGCTGACTTTTGGTCGGTTGAAAATTTTCTTTTCGAAATTCAGCAATTCGTTAGAGCTTTAGTATTTTTTCCCGTGATATTCGATTTTATTCCCGCTCGCCATCTTGATCTCAGCTCGATCGGGTACCTTTTACTGTGAAAAAGCGTCCCGGTGGGATCGGCCATTTCGAGTCATCTTTATACGCGGTGTCGGTTTTCTCAAGATAACTCGAGCTTCAGGACAGGTACAGAGCTGGTAAGCACAGCTAATCGATTCAGAATGATCAGGCGCGTACCCAGAGGTCTGAACTCGGTTTGCTAGCCGAGCTAGGTCCGCAAACCTATTCGTACTATTCGAGTTATCTTAACAAACGCTCTCGGTTTTCTGTACTTAACTCGAGCTATAGGACCGCTACAGAGCTGATGCGTACAGAATCTGATTGAGAATCATCAGTGGCCGTTGTCTGTTGAATCCAGAGCCCTGAACGGTCTGCTGCTCGATCTAGAATCGCAAAACTATTCGTATTGTTCGAGTCATGTTGAGAGATGCTGTCGGTTCTCTGCACTCAACTCGGGCTGTAGTGGGGCTGCATGGCTAGTAATCACTGGAATCCATTCAGAGACATCAGGCGCGTCCGCCTGTCGAATCCAGAGCTCGGAACTCTGTCTGCTGCCCGAACAGGTCCGCGAAATTATTCGTATTGTTAGAGTCATCCTGAGAGGTGCTGTGGGTTTCCTGCACTTAGCTCGGGCTGTAGGGGGGGCTGCATGGCTGGTAATCACAGGAATCGATTCAGAGACATCAGACGCGTATGCAGAGGTCTGACATCGGTCTGATACTCGAGCTAGGTTTGCCAAACTATTCGTATTGTTCGAGTCATGTTGATAGGTGCTGCCGATTTACATAACTCGTGCTGTAGGAGAGCTACAGAGCTCGTACAGAAGAGAATCCAGAAGCATTGGGCGCGTTCGGCTGTTGCATCCGAGAGGTCTGAAATTGCTTGGGCTGAAAAACTGTTTTCTCTGTGTAATTTTTTTAGATGTTACATGTTGTCAGGAAGATATTTGACCATTTATTTTGAGCAAGCAGATTTTTCGCACCTGTAGACGATTATGAGGCCTGAGCGTCTTAATATGAGCCCTCTAGATGCACTTTTATTATCAAAACACTTGGTGAAACCAACTTTATGTCGACATGAAAAAAATACCTCGTAGAGCTCTTCGACATCGATGAGCTAGAGGAATTCCGGCGCGGGGTGGAGCTAGTTGGCCGACCCGGCACCGACGGACAAAGTGACATTTTTTGAGTGGTTTTGCGAATATGTGAAAGATATTTGACTATTTATCTTGAGAAAGCAGATTTTTCGCACCTGTAGACGACTATGAGGGCCTTTCCGTCTTAATCTAAGCTCTCTAGATGCATTTTTACTGTGAAAAACTTGGCGAAACCAACTTTATGTCGACATGGAAAAAATCATGTTTTCTCTTTTCTCTGAAATTCTTCCAGAAGCCCTCTCTTTTCATGCTGAGCACTCTTAGGCATGCTAGGAGCTCTACGAGGTTCCCGGCGGTGACGAGGTTGACGTTTCACTGCCGGCGCCAGTTTGAGCTCTAGTATTTTTTCCCGTGATATTCGATCCTATTCCCGCTCGCCATCTTGATCTCAGCTCGTTCGGGTACCTTTTACTGTGAAAAAGCACACGGGCGGGATCGGCCGTTCGAGTCATCTTGTCACGCGGTGTCGGTTTTCTCAAGATAACTCGAGCTTCAGGACAGCTAAAGAGCTGGTACGCAGCTAATCGATCCAGAATGATCAGGCGCGCTCGACTGTTGAAGCCAGAGGTCTGAATTCGGTCTGCTAGCCGAGCTAGGTGCGCAAACCTGTTCGTATTATTCGAGTCATCTTGACAGGCGCTCTCGGTTTTCTGTACTTATCTCGAGCTACAGGACAGCTACAGAGCTGATACGTACAGAATCTGATTCAGAATCATCAGTGAGCGTTATCTGTCGAATCCAGATCTCTGAACTCGGTCTGCTGCCCGATCTAGAATCGCGAAACTATTCGTATTGTTCGAGTCGCTTGCGAGATGCTCTTGGTTCTCTGCACTTAACTCGGGCTCTAGGGGAGCTGCATAGCTGGTAATCACTGGAATCGATTCGAAGACATCAGGCGCGTTCGCCTGCGGAATCGAGAGCTCCGAACTCGGTCTGTTGCCCGAACTAGGTTCGCGAAACTATTCGTATTGTTCGAGTCATCCTGAGAGGTGCTGTCGGTTTCCTGCACTTAACTCGGCTGCAGTTGGGGCTGCAGGGCTGCCTGTCGCATGCAGAGGTCTGAACTTGGTCTGATACTCGAACTAGGTTTGCCAAACTATTCGTAGTGTTCGAGTTGTCTTGAGAGATGCTGTCGATTTACGCATGTAACTCGGGCTGTAGGAGAGCTAGAGAGCTTGTCAGAAGACAATCTAGAAGCATCGGGGGCGTTCGGCTGTTGTATCCGAGAGGTCTGAAATTGCCTGGGCTGAAAAACTATCTTTTCTGTGTAATTTCTTTTGACATTATATGTTGTCAGGCTCTGCGAGTCCCCCGGCTCAAGGTTGAGGCTCAAGGCGCTCGACATTTGATCCCCTCTGCCTGGGTAACCTCCAGTGGGGTCGAGTGCGCGTCAGGGAGTCACACGCCTGCCGCCTAGAGTAATCTTGCACTGTCATTCATTTGACACGTTTGATCGCCTTGAGTGGTCGTCAATTGATTTGTTTCACACGTTTGTCGCCTAGAGTGATATTGCACTGCCATTCATTTGACACGTTTGATCGCCTTGAGTGTTCTTCAATTGATTTGTTTTGTTGGGTGCTTCCGAGGCAGTCTTTGCAATCTTTCGCTATGCCACACGTACGGAGTGCGAGTGCTCGCATTATGCGTCGGGCGCTGGCTGTTAAAAATGGATACTGTGTGTATTTACCTATTCGTTTGCCTCTGGATGGTTTGGTGCCACCTACGTGTCTCCCACCACCAGGGCTGGAGCGGGCGACTGCCGATTCGGTTCTAGATTATCTCTTGTTGCGCGATCCACCTGTTGTTAAACGCAGTTTGGAGGAGGAGGAAAAGGAGGCTGACATTATGACTGTTTCGGAGAATCTTTCTTGCCGTATGCAGGCGTCTGAATCGCTGGTTGCTGTAGATATTGGTGCGCAGGCTTCTGAATCGCTGGTTGATGTTGGAGTGCAGACGGTTGATATTGGAGTGCAGGCTTCGGTAGATATTGGAGTGCAGGCTTCTTCTAGTACGGATGTTGCGGACTTTCATTGTGAAGTCGGCTGTCAGACAGAGAGTGTCGTTGGGATGGAGGGAGGAGCTTCAGGAGTTCTTTTTGGGAAAGTGACTGTGGCGGCGGAGGAGGAGCTGGAGGCACCCTCGTGTGCGGAGTCTTCTCCGAACGTGCAGTCTGTTTCTGATAGCCGCGCCTTGTCAGGAGCGTCCCAGGGGTGTCTGAATCGCCCCGTCACGCTCAATGAAGCATCGAAGGAGTCGCGCCAGAGGACTCGAGGGAGAGATCGTGACCAGGTCATTGGGACATCGACGTGCTCTCAGGCCACCATTGCCGATGTCAAAGCGTGGATTGGCGATGTTGCCAGCATCAACGAGTTGAATGCGATCCAGTATTTAAAGAACGGAATGGATTTGTTTGATAAGCTGGTGACAGAACGTGGGTTCTCTACAAAGAGGGCCCAAACATATTATGCTCGGAAACTGTATGAGATGCTCCAGAATGTGCAAGCGACACTGGAGGATCTTTTGGGATTCTTCGAGGTGCACAGGTTCTTGACAGGACAAATGAACCGCGCCGAGACTGCCAAGTTTCTGGAGGTTTCCAAGTGCAGCGATTACCGAATAATATTCTTCGGACGCCCGAGGAGTTTCGACAAGTTGGGATGAAGCTATTCGTGCGCAAGTGGATTGTTGACTGTGATTGCATAGTCTCGTTTGTTTGTGCTCTAAGAATTCAGTGTGTGCATGTTCAGTTCTTGGCCAGGTCTCCTGGCTCTCACGTCGTAACATTATCCTTGCCTTATCAAAGCCAGCTTTGATGGGGGTGTTTGTAGCCGCGGAAGTGCCTGTGGTGTGTGTGGATACAGATTGGTCTGCGAAACAAATATATCTTCTCGCGGACCGACATCATTTTCAAGGATGTGTATCTTGAGGCTTGGTGTCTGCCACCAAGCGCCACTGTTACAGATACGGAACTATCAGCGGCGGAGCGCGTATGCGATGTGCTCCCACAGGTAGTGCAGACCTTCTTTGATCATTCGCAGGGATAAGTCACACATTGTTTCTTCTTTATCTGTGTTCTTGTTTATTCCAACAGCTTCGCTGTTCACTGACTCATTCGTTTTTATCTTTGTGTGCTTTGCGTTTGATTGTGTCATTGCGGCATGCGTTTCTCTTCATTCCTTCAGCTTCGCTGTGTGGTATAAGAGCTGACTGCTTGCGTGATAAATAAGAGGCTCTGTTTCGCCTGATACTTTGTTGGACCTGGCCTTAGTGGCCAAGACGGTCCCAGCAAAGACGCAAAAAAAAAGGTTGACGGTTTACCGCCAGCGCCCAGTCCTTTTGGCTTCCCGCAGGAAGCCTCGGCGCGAGTGACTGACTCGTAGAGCTTCCCTAAGCTAGTACCTCGTAGAGCTCTCCGGCAAAGAGCTAAGAGAAATTCGGGCTCAGGGTGGAGCTAGTACCTCGTAGAGCTCTTCGGCAAAGAGCTAAGAGGAATTCGGGCGGAGGGTGGAGCTAGTTGGCCGGCCCAACGAAAAGAGAGAATGTGGTAACCTGGGGTCGGTGTTTTTCATTTTATGCACAATTTTGAAGTTCGTTTTTAGAAGTGAGATTTTTATTCGCTGTAGTAAGCTGTTGCGCACCTGCTGGTAATTTTTTTATGGCTCTAAGTCCAGTATTACTATCCAACCTTTGGAGGACCCACTGCATGAAAACCGAAAACTCGTCATTTGTCGAATTTTTCGGCTCTCGTTTGAGAAGCTTCCTTCACGTGTTCGGAGGAGCGTTCTGTAAGAAGAGAGCTCGATGAGGTGCCCGGCTGTAACTTGGTTGACGGTTAACCGCCGGTTCCCAGTTGGCCGGCCCGACGAAAAGAGAGAATGTGGTAACCTGGGGTCGGTGTTTTTCACTTTATCCAAAATTTTGAAGTTCGTTTTTAGAATTGAGATTTTCATTCCCTGTAGTAAGCTATGGCGCACCTGCTGGTAAATTTTTCATGGCTCTAGGTCCAGTATTACTATCAAAACACTTGGAGGAACCCACTGTATGAAAACCGAAAAATCGTCATTTTTCGAATTTTTCGGCTCTCGCTTCAGAAGCTTCCTTCACGTGTTCGGAGGAGCGCTGTGTAAGAAGAGAGCTCTACGAGGTGCCCGGCGGTAACTTGGTTGACGGTTTACCGCCGGTTCCCAGTTTCCGGCAAACGTCCACGCGTGCCTGGCACGCGTGCAGGCACGCGTGGAAGCGTTCCTGACAGCGCTTCGGAAGCGCTGCAGGGGAGCCCCCCAGAGCTCCAGAAGCGCTTCACGAGAGCGTCCGAGGGCTCGCCAGGAGAGCTGTCTGGTGTGTGTTCTCTTTGCTCTCCGGGTTTCGCTACCACGTACCTCGTAGAGCTCTTTGGCATAGAGCTCTAGTATTTTTTCCCGTGATATTCGATCTTATTCCCGCTCGCCATCTTGATCTCAGCTCGATCGGGTACCTTTGACTGCCAAAAAGCACTGCGGCGGGATCGCCCGTTTCGGGTCAGCTTGTCACGCAGTGACGCTTTTCTCAAGATAACTCGAGCTTCAGGACAGATACAGAGCTGGTAAGCACAGCTAATCGATTCAGAATAATCAGGCGCGTTCGTCTGTTGAATCCAGAGGTCTGAACTCGGTCTGCTAGCCGAGCTAGGTTTGCAAACCTATTGGTATTATTTGAGTTATCTTGAGAGACGCTTGGGTTTTCTGTAGAGCTAAAGGATAGCATAGAGCTGATGCGTACATAATCTGATTCAGAATCATCAGTGGCCTTTGTCTGTGACTCCAGAGCTCTGAATTCGGTCTGCTGCCCGATCTAGAATCACAGAAACTGTCTGTATTGTTCGAGTTATCTTGAGAGATGCTGTTGGTTCTCTGCACTTAACTCGGGCTGTCAGGCAGCTGCATGGCTCGTAATCACTAGAATCGATTCGGAGACATCAGGCGCGTCCGCCTTTCGAATCCAGAGCTTCGAACCCGAACTAGGTCTGCGAAAATATTCGCATTGTTCGAGATATCCTGACAGGTGCTGTAGGTTTCGTGCACTTAACTCGGGCTGTAGGGGGGTCTGTTGGGCTGGTAATCACAGGAGTCGATTCGCAGACATCAGACGCGTCCACCTGTCACACGCAGAGGACTCGGTCTGACACTCGAGCTAGGTTTGCCAAACTATTCGTATTATTCGAATGATCTTGAGAGGTGCTGTCGATTTCCGCACGTAACTCTAGGAGAGCTACAGAGCTCGTACAGAAGAGAATCCAGAAGCATCGGGGGCGTTCGGCTGTTGCATCCCAGAGGTTTGAAATTGCTTGGGCTGAAAAATTATTTTTTCAGTGTAATTTTTTAGAGTATATGTTGTCAGGAAGCTCTACGAGTCCCCCGGCGGTAACAAAGGTTGACGGTTTACCGCCGGCGCCCAGTAACTCGTAGAGCTTCCCTTAGCAAGTCATTGCTGGAAGCTTAAGAGTAATTCCGGGGCGCTGGAGAGCTAGTTGGCAAGAAAAATCTCGACGGACATTTTGATGACTTTTGGTCAGTTGAAAATTCGGTTCTCGAAATTCAACCATTCGTTAGAGCTCTAGTATTTTTTCCCGTGATATTCGATCTTATTCCCGCTCGCCATCTTGATCTCAGCTCGATCGGGTACCTTTTACTGCCAAAAAGCACTGCGGCGGGATCGCCCGTTTCGGGTCAGCTTGTCACGCGATGACGGTTTTCTCAAGATAACTCGAGCTTCAGGACAGGTACAGAGCTGGTAAGCACAGCTAATCGATTCAGAATCATCAGGCGCGTTCGCCTGTTGAACCCAGAGGTCTGACATCGGTCTGCTAGCCGAGCTAGGTTCGCAAACCTTCGTATTATTCGAGTTATCTTGAGAGACGCTCTGGTTTTCTGTACTGGGAGCCGGCGGTAAACCGTCAACCAGATTACCGCCGGGACCCTCGTAGAGCTCTGACTAGTTCAGAACGCCGAGATAACAGCAGAAAAACGCTTTTGAATACCAGCTTGAAAAATAAGACATGTTCTTTTCGGTTGTAACAATGTTGGTTCCCCCTAGTCTTTTGATCAAAATAATGCAGCTACGGCCCGAAGGATTGCACCATCGAAAGCGCCATAATTCACTGCATAGAATAAAAATTCGAATTTGCAAAACGAATTTCAAAATCTCTCGCCATCTTCGAAAAACCCACCCCAGGTCATCACATTGTCCGCCCGGGCCGGCTTGGCCAACTAGCTGCACCCCGCGCCAGAATTCCTCTAGCTCATCGATGCCGAAGAGCTCTACGAGGTACTTAAGTGGAGCTAAAAGACAGTACAGAGCTGATACGTACAGATTCTGATTCAGAATCATCAGTGGCTCTTGTATGTTGACTCCAGATCTCTGAACTCGGTCTGTTGCCCGATCTAGAATCGCAAACACTATTCGTATTGTTCGAGTTAATTTGAGAGATGCTGTTGTTCTCTGCACTTAACTCGGGCTGTAGGGCAGCTGCATGGCTGGTAATCACTAGAATCGATTCGGAGACATCAGGCGCGTCCCCCTTTCGAATCCAGAGCTTCGAACTCTGTCTGCTGCCCGAACTAGGTCTGCGAAAATATTCGCATTCTTCGAGTCATCCTGACAGGTGCTGCCGGTTTCCTGCACTTAACTCGGGCTGTAGGGGGGGCTGTTCGGCTGGTAATCACAGGAGTCGATTCGCAGACATCAGACGCGTCCACCTGTCGCATGCAGAGGTCTGAACTCGGTCTGACACTCGAGCTAGGTTTGCCAAACTATTCGTATTATTCGAGTCATCTTGAGAGGTGCTGTCGATTTTCGCACGTAACTCGGGCTGTATGAGAGCTGCAGAGCTCGTACAGAAGAGAATCCAGAAGCATCGGGGGCGTTCGGCTGTTGCATCCGAGAGGTTTGAAATTGCTTAGGCTGAAAAATTATTTTTTCTGTGTAATTTTTTTCTGCATTATATGTTGTCAGGAAGCTGTGCGAGTCCCCCGGCGGTAAGAAAGGTTGACGGTTTACCGCCGGCGCCCAGTTCTGGGCGCTGGAGAGCTAGTTGGCAAGAAAAATCTCGACGGACCTTTTGCTGACTTTTGGTCGGTTGAATTTTTTTTCTCGGAATTGAACTATTCGTTAGAGCTCTAGTATTTATCCTGAGCATATTCGATCTTATTCTCGATCGTCATCTTGATCTCAGCTCGATCGGGTAAATATTTCTGCAAAAAAGCATCGCGACGGGATCGGCTGTTTCGAGTGATGTTGATACGCGTTCTCGGTATTTTGACTTAACTCGAGATGTAGGGCAGCTGCAGAGCTCATTCTTACAGAAATCGATTGCGAATCATCTGGCGTGTCCTTCTGTTCCATCTAGAGGTCTCCACCCGCTCTGCTGCCCGAGCTAGGTTCGCGAAACTATTCATGTTGTTGGAGTCATCTTGAGAGGTGCCCACAGTTCTCTGCACCTAACGCGGGCTGTAGGAGGGCTACAGGGCTCGTACTCACAGGAATAGATTCGGAGACATCGGGCGCGTCTGCCTGCCGAATCCAGTGCTCGGAACTCGGCGTGCTGCCCGAGCTAGGTTCGCAAAACTATTCGTATTCGTCGAGTCATCTTGAGAGGTGCTGTCTGTTTTCTGCACTTCACTCGAGCTGTAAGGGGGCTGCAGTGCTGGTAATCACTGAGATCGATTCAGAGACATCAATCGCGTCCAACTGTCGCATTCAGAGCCCTGAACTCGGCCTGCTGCCCAAGCTAGATCGCGAAACTATTTGCATTGTTTGAGTCATCTTCAGAGGTGCTGTCGATTTTCTGCACTTAACTCGGGCTGTAAGGAGGCTGCAGGGCTGGTAATCACAGGAATCGATTCGCAGACATCAGGCGCGTCCGCCTGTATTCAGATGTCTGAACTCGTCTGATACTCGAGCTAGATTCGCGAAACTATTTGTATTGTTCGAGTGATCTTGAGAGGTGCTGTCGATTTTCGCACGTAACTCGGGCTGTGCGAGAGCTACGAAGCTCGTGCGAAGAGAAAACGATCCAGAAGCATGAGGTAGGCCGGAAAACTATTCGTTCTCTGCATTTTTCCTCGACATTATATATGCTCAGGAAGCTCTACGAGTCGCCCGGCGGTAAGGAAGGTTGCAAATATTATTTCTCTTTTGGAAGAATTGGAGGAGGAAGGAGTACGACCCCCCTCATGGGGCAATGACTTTATTCGACACATATATCGGGAGAGTAATACAGTAGCTGATGAACTTACCCATCTAGCACGGGAAGGCCAGATATTCAGAGAGCTGTTCCACCACCATATCTTCCGTCCTGATGTTCAAGACAACTTTCGAGTTATCGGCCTCCGCGGATCCTTCGATGGCGGAGTGTGTGCCCAAGGTGTGGGCGTTGGTTGGTTTCTGCAGATTGGATATATCCCTCGTTTCCATGATCCGTACCCTGACCCTGAACATAGAGATAAGAGAGCTCGTGTAGTCTCCCTCTTCCCCCAAGCCTCCTCTCCTTGTCCAATCATATGGG